CCGAATAATTTTTCTTTCTACCAATATTTATATAACCACGGTTTTCACACATTTCCCAACTTGTGATGTTAATGTAATATAAACATGATTTATAAACTTCTCACATTGTGACACATGTATTAGTTTCCCACCCACCTCTGAATTGCTCATTTTATAGAGGGGAACCAAAACAAAAGTGATCACGAATAAAAACAAATCGGTTTTCACACTTGCTATGAATACTTAATAACTTATACTGAAAAAAATTTAAACCTCATTAAACAAAAGATTACCCGGCCAGTTAGATCCATTTTATGGTTGTTAAGAGGGGGCAAGCAGCATCCATAACTTCATGAAATAAAATGTTCAAAGTTCAGCTCTCGGTGCCCTAGACTGTAGGGACGACTGCAGATGACACAAATCGAAGAAAAAGGGTGGGACTCCTCTGACGTGTGTCCTGTGACATACTCCTCTTAACAGCTGGCAAGGGCCCAATCTTGACGCTCGTGGTCCTCTTCCTTCCGTTGAAGAGAGTTGAAAGGCATGCCCTATATTTTCTCCTCCCATTTTATGATGAAAAGGGCAATCCAGGCACGCCTTTCGCGCGTAGAAGATTCCTGGTGCTCAGTCACTCCAAAGTTGAATGTTGATGCACAAACACACATAATTTGACAGCTAATAAGACAGCTCGTCCTTTAAGGTTAAAGTGCTCGCCCTGTTCGGTATTATATTGGATTTCCATTTAAAGCATTATAAAGTCCTTTCTAAAAATATAGCCATATTTTAATACAATTATAAAGAAATTTATATAATTTACACACCATCTTAACCATGACAAACGTGACAGCGGTGGAGGCCGCCATGACGCGATGACCGACGCCCGACAGCAAACACAGATTTATCTTAGCCTCAATCTACTGTGTACTAACAAGTCTGTAAATTACCACACTTGACTAAAACAAGTCTATTTCGAATAAATGTCGCTATTGTACCATGTCGCTATCAAGGTCGAAACATACCTCGCTCAACTAGAAGTCAGTGTCAAGACACCAGTAGGGCGTTCAGTGGGTGTGTACATTTGCTGTAGCGCTCTCCACTTGTATACATGTACGTAGTGCACTTGATATGGTAGTCACCGCTCGTTCTGCTATTGATGCCGTTCCGTGGATATCGACTGCGTTGATGTTTGGGGAAAAGCGTACGTAGCAAAGGTTCATTTTCAGCGCTGTTTTTGTACAGGTCATCACATCTTCCTTTTTTATCTTCTTGGCAGCGTCGGTAGATAAAAATCCTTATTTGATGGAGGTCGAGAGCCGAGTTAGGTTAGGCTTGCGTTTGCACCATGTACACGAAAATATCTCTTTTGTGAGTTCGTGGTTCTGAGAAGAAATGATGACAAGACAATCGACGTATGCTCTGTCCGTCTTCAGGAGGGTGACCTGAGGATGCTGGTTTTAAGCGCTAGAGAGGATGCTGAAGGTGCACTGGAGCAGAACGGCTTGCTTGATTGTGGATCCTCTGGACTGAAACGCTACTGAGTGCGCTCAGTGATGCGTGGCAGTGGGGCAATGGGTGTAGTGAGAGGAGGAACTAGTGACCAAGGGTATAGATGACCCATTGGTCTGGGAGAGTAATGACTCGACCGATAGCGGTGAGCGGCCTGACCTCCACGGCCCGATACGCAGATCCGTTTTGGCGGAAGTCTACCGCCAGGCCCGTAGCTCACTACTGCCAAAACACACTCACACACCCTCGCACCACACGGGACTAACAGACGGGGGACCACCGGGGAAGAAATGGGGGGGCGGACACCAGTTTGTGCCTACCCTTTGCTTTGATGCTTTATTCTCCTATAGGCGCACAGTGCTTCACCTACGTGCGGGACTATTCACTGATCACAAAATTATAGGTGCCAGGATTTATTAACAATCACAAATCAAGCTCACACAAATTGTGAGGCTCCCCTACTGCGACTACTTAAATAAATGTAATTGACAGGACGATTAAAAAGAACACTTTATCTCTGATCAGAACCCTTCACCGCACTTGGTGGCAGCTGCAGCAGGAAGTTGCTTTCCAACTCAACACGGTGACTGTCGCAGCGGGAAGAGAGCGAATCTTAGCACACGGTCGCTTATATACACGCCAGCGCGCACAACGTTGCTAAGCAACAAACGCTAGAAAGCGCACCAGTAGGCTATGCATTGCGTTACAGTAATAAGGAGTGCCAGATGCTGCTGATGTGGAAGCCAACGTCTTGGGGATTGTTTTGTGCTTGTAGATCTCGATTGCTTCCCTGACGCGTCTTTGGTACAATCTGTTGACCCGGCAGAGCGATGAGTTGAGCTGCTTGCCAGTTGATGACGTTATCCTTGATGTGTGAGTGCTTGACATTCTCTGATTTATCGTAGTCAACTCTGCGTCCATGGGCGATGTGTTCTTTGAGTCTTGTGGGCAAGTCCCAACTAGTCTCGCCGATATAAACCTTTCCACGTCCTGTAGACACCAGCTTTCGTCTGATGGTCTTGCTTGTCCTTGTGCGTCTGCAGGATTTCTTGAAGTTTCTTGGCTGCAGTGTGTAATACTCCGATGTTGGCTTGGTGAAGAATGCGTTGGATCTTGTGGAGTGCGTTTCCTAAGTATGGTAGGGTCACTGTTGCCTTGTACGAGGGTGGTTGACTTGGGGTACAGGAGACCCGACAGTCGTTAGACTTGGATTCTTGATCTTGGCGGTTACCGTAGCGCTTAAGGGCTCTAGAGATGAGCTTAAATTCTTCTTACATGTGTTCTTGGTCGCAGATTTTGTAGGCTGGCTGCACCAGGGTAAGGTTGACTGATGACTTTATGCTGGGATGATGGAATGATGCGCTCTGCAGGTACCGGTCTGTGTGGGTCGGCTTGTGGTAGACGGCCCCAGGGGTCCATCTAGTTTGCGGGAGACCTTGACGTCCAGGAGAGGAATGGAATTCCTTTCCGCCTGTTCCATAGTGAACTTGATGTTGGGATGCAGGTCGTTGAAGTGATCCATGAACGCTTGCAGGTGCAGGGGGCCATGCGGCCAGATGACGAAGGTGTCCTCCACATAGCGTAGCCAGGTGCTTGGACCGTGATCTGCTGTGTCAAGCGCTGTATATATTCTCAAAGACTTCCATGACTGTTGGAGGAACTTGTCCCTCCATCTGAAGCTGGGCAACGAGAAGCAAGTAAGCAACAGGTCATGGATTTGGTCCGGGATAGGGCTGTGCGCTGACAGAGAGTGGGGTCTTATCCAGACATTCTTGAACACGAGGCAGGCCTCGCCTGTGGGGACGTTAGTGAAGAGGAAAACGACATCAAAGCTGACCATGATGCCGTGTCTTCAGGGCCGAGTTGAAGCTACTCAATCATCTGAACAAACTGATCAGAGTTGGTCACGTGACGCGGGGATTAAATGGGTGTAATCACAGGTCTTTAAGATGGAGTTCAATGAGTTTAAAAGTAACTCCCCATGTCTTTATAATAGAGAGTAATTAGTGCAACCATAAATTTCCATGACCTCATAATGGAGATCAGTAAGTGCTACCGTTAATCTCCATGTATTTATAATGAAGTACAACCATAAATCTCCATGTCTCTTTAATGGAGATTAATGCAAGTGCTGCCTCGGACCATTGGTACTTCGAGGCTTTCTTCCTCCGATGACATCACATTTGTGTTCATGAATGTTCTGTGGCGAGACAACTGACACCTCTTGTGGTGGACCCAGTAGACCGGCCTGATCGAAGATGGAATTGACCTGGCCTGACCCCCAAAAATATATTTATTAACCTTGCGCAAGGATGAGCGGCTACCCAGACACAAGGGGGAGGGACATCAGCTAACGAACGGCGGACTAAGCCTAGGAGCAGTTCGTTTGGTGGAAATTTACCACCACTCAGGAAAGACAGATCAATACTGGTATCAGAGCAAGGAAATACATGGAAACCTTAGTAAACCTCACAGTGACACACGATTTCCAACGACAATAATCAAGTAATTGATTTATTACAATTATAAATCAATGAGGTATATAAATAATCCAAGGTTTATTTACACAATACACCTCACAAGGCTATTGAATATGCCTCCATATTGAATATAACCTAACCATCCGACTCGTTTTAGCACAACCAATCTATAACCTAAGGGATACCTCACTACTAAACAAGTAGCGATGGCCCTCACGCAAAGACACAGAATGTCATGCAAATCAGGGTCTATTTAACGAGAGGGTAATTACCTTCACAGCGATCTGAGTACACCAAGTGAACCCCAATGCCAGCTAGCAAGATGATAACAGGATTGCCTTCCAGCCGTCACCCCACTGACAGTGCTTACAGATGACCAAGCAATCCAACAACAAAGACCGCTAGCTCCCAGCCCCGGTTCTCCACGTACACTCAGCTCTACTTAGACCCAATACAGCTCACTACTACACCTACCAGCTAGCGTATCCCCACGCAGCGCTTCTGGTGCAGCGTCCACGCTGACTCGCACAGTGTACAGCACAGATTCGTATACAGCGTTCTCAGCGATCTTGCCACTCTGCGAACACTAACAGTGCACGCCTTAAGCACGCCGCAAGCGCCCAGGCCTAGCGCTCTACACAACGCCAATCGGTCTGCACATGCAATAATAATTTATGAATTAGACTGGCATCCATGTCTACCCCTGTTTCGTCATAGTTTGTTATCATTAAAATAAAAGAGGTAGAATATTACCCTTTAATTGGGGAATGGTTGAAAGTGACGTTAACTTAGAGAAACGGGTGTATTTCTAAAGTCTGTATGAAACACGATATGATTGCTGCTCACCGTTAACAACACTCACCCCGGCAATGAACAACTCACCTCGCTGCGTAACGTGGCACACCATACGAAGCGATCCAACTACAAAAGGGCTTTTGTAGAGTAATTTCAGCTGTTCGAAACGTGGCTGAAATATATTGTTGTATTCCCAGAAAGAGTAACAACGTAAGCGTTGTTATGTGGGGTCGTGGGCCCAAAGAAGGGAGAGCAGACAGTTGAGCGAACTGGCATATTTAACGCAGTGCGTAATGGAAATAGTTAGCATTGCGGGTATACTTGATTCCAATACCAGTAGATATTGTTTTCTGTTTTTTAGATTCTCCCTGTTGGGAAAGATCAATTTGGATAGACTGTTATATTTCCTGCCGGAATATGAAGCCTTTGAGTTTTTTTTTTAGTTTGAGGACCAAGGCTCACTACAATGCGTTTTCGCATCAATCGAAAAAGCTCATTTTAATACGTTCTCAATCACGTGATACTATAACATATTATTCTGCCCTGTTCCAAACAGGGGTAATTCTGTGTAATCGGTTTGGAAGATTGGATAAGCTTTATCCAAAATCACTTGAGTATGTTTGATCAAAGAAGTGAGATATTGGCAATAACAACATCGATCATTACCTCACAGAGATCTCCAAAATAACCCTGCAAACAAACACATTGGAAATGCCCAATGAGATCGTTGCACGTTGCTCCATTTTGGCATGGCTGACTTGCACAGTCGTCGTACTCACAAAACTGATCAGCATATACGTAACCAGGTGGGCAGGAACAGCTGAATGATGCCACATGATCGTGGCAGGTGCCGCCATTTTTGCAAGGCATTGATGCGCATTCATCCACGTTGATGTCACAGTTCGTTCCTGCAAGACACAACGTAAATCCTGATCTGTTCTACTGGAGTTGTTCAGCCCTCTGGTACAAAATCACAAAGAAATTGCATAAACATGTACAATAGAATGAAGGTCTATGGAGCACGTCAAAATCTTCCAGATTAATCAATAAAAACTTTACCCACATATACTTAATTTCCCTGAAATCCTACAGTAAATATACCAATAAAGTAGGCCTGTAGAGCAGTCTCATCTGGTCTCGGTCTTGGTCTCGGTAACCCTTGGTCTTAGTCGTATCGGTATTTTGGCTGGTTGGGTGAAGAATATGTGGCGTGTTTGTGCTCCTAATCGATTGCCTTATGTTCGGGCAGTATCGTTACTTGTGCGATTTGATAAAGTGCAACATTTTTATTACAAGTCCTATATTTTCAGCGTGATTTGGGGGTTGAGGATAACTTGACACAACTAGGCATATGCAGCAAGGCATGAGACGGAGAGAACCCCCCCCCTCCCTGCTTTGTGTTGGTCATTGTCTCGCAGGAATCTGGGGAATTCCTTTCAGACATCTTGGGGGGGATGTGTTGAGTAACAATAGTCTAGAATGTGTAGAGGGATTGAACATATTGGGGAGGTACCCCTGGGTCTCATTTCTTGCTGGGTATACAACTAGGTTTCGTTTGGTATTACAATGAGTACCACAAGTGGTAAAGAATTTCAAACGCATGCTAGTTTCTATGTGTGCGCAGACAGTACGAGGTGTACGTACACATTGTTGGGACGTTACTTGTGCTACAGTCGCATCAGTCGGTATCACACACTGTAAAAACTCGGGTGTTAAAATCAACACTTTTGGGTGTTATCAGATGACCACACCAATGATTACAACCTTAAACAAAGTAGGGCAGTTTGGTACAGTTGACCTTTGCAACAAAAATGGCAAAAAATCACATCGATATGCATAAACATAATAGTTATGATCATAAAAATATGAATAGGAATGAGTATAGGGTAAAATGTATGCTAGGGATGAATAGGAATAGCATAGGGTCGGAAAGTGTAGTACAAAATGACCTTGTGTATGGGATAAAATATGAATAAGGTATAGCATGGGGTAAAAACTTTCGGTACAATTTGACCTTTCATATGAAATAGGATAACAAATAGTTGATGAGTCATAATGGTGTGATTTCATGGAAAAATACTGACTGGCCCACCAGGAGATCCTAAGGTAATCAAGGAGAAGGAAGCGATAATCCCTAAACAAAGGGCCGTACGAGCCGCTGGATAATGAGAGGGATGATCCCCAGACAATGGACTGTATATAGTGGGTGGGCTGAAGAAAGGTCAAACTGTACCAAACTGACCCCCCCCCAACAACTATTGCGATGGATGTTTAAAATTTCGATGGTAATAAAACGATCGCAGTTCTAGGACGTTTTCTGCCCTAAAGGTTCAAACACCCTTAGCTGCTGACGGCGGAATGTAGTTATCCGTACAGCTTACCGGTCCAGCCGTTCGTGCAAGTGCAGCTGAATCTGTTGGCTCCATTAACGCAGACGCCATTGACACAAGGATTAGATTGGCATTCGTCATAATCGAGATTGCAGTTAGGTCCTGTAGGATTGACAACAAAAAGATGTTTAATGGTCATTTTAACGGCTAAAGCAATGAAGAATATACTGCGAGATTTTAAAAAAATCTAACACAATGGCTTCCTATGGGACTGTTTATACTGAGGGCCAAAACAGCGCCACGGGACGATGAATAACTTTATTCAGAAATAGTAGCGTGGCAAAGGGGGTGGGAACATTGGAGACCGTGCAACTGGCTCAGAATTAGAGAAGCAGATCTGGTGATAGTCAGTCTTGGTCAATGTTTTAATTGTGACTGAACCCACTGAGACCCTCCCCACAAATGAAGGCGCCCTCAAGTGCCCCGCCCCCGCAAAATATACCATAGTTACCCCCACTGTTGAGAAACCCTGGCGATGAAACCTCAGTAGGACGTCAAGGACTGACTTGCAATGTTGAGCACTCATGGCCCATTTACACAACCAAGCGATAATTGAATGCAATTACCAAAAATGTTCGACAGTGCTATGGTTTTCAGCCAAGACAGGGAATGGGGATATCATACTTAACGAGACCACTGATCGGAATAAGTGATAAACATTTGAAAACTAACTCGATATATTAATAGAGCGGTCCATTGCCCGATACCGCGCGGCACTGAGTATAAACACTTCCACGATGGGAATTAAACTACTTTACTTTGTTTATAGTTCATTGACAGATGACAACTCGCTTTAAATTCAACAAGTCATGAATGATAAAATGTTATGTCTCAAGTCCTAATAAACAAAAAAATGAATAGAACTTCATATCAGATTCCCTGATGCAAGGCACAATCCTCGCATGCAGAATTTCAGAGTAACCATCTATGTCATGTATAAAATCAAACTGTTGTTCCTTTCATCTATTCAGATTATTTATCCGATTCCATTGATTCACATCATATTATAGGTTGTTAGGTGCGAAAGTTTGTAAGAGGGGTTGAGCTGGGTTTCAAAAACTAGTGGTGAGCTCAACGTTTCAGACAATTTGTGCACATTGCAGTGTCAATCTTTAAGAGGTTCTGCTCTTCGTGTGAGACGTGCACCTCTTTTGCTGCGCCTAACGACAGGCAAGGCACTATCCGTAATGTTAATTTCAAGGTTTTTTGGAACCATCACCAATCACAACATATTATTTTCGACATGCTTTCGACATGTAACTATCGCAAAGGCACCGACATTGCTTCCACAATTTCAAGGGGTATTTTACTGCCTTTTTGGTTCCTGTGCTAATAACGCAAAACTGTAATGTCAATCCAGGAAGAAAGCCTGTGTGTTTCACAGGCTTGTATTAAAAAAGTCCTGCATTTAGCTTTTATTTAAAAACAATTACGGCCAAATGCAATCAACTACCGTTTTTGCCTACCTCTGTTCATGCTGAACAGCCTAGTTTAGTCACCTTTAATGTCAGGGATTCCCCATAGCCATAATACAAAATATTCGAGTATGCCTCTGGCCAAGTCCCATAGGAATGTGCACGTGTATAAACAACTCTGCCATGTGGCTAGCCAGGGTCTGTCACATATGTCCGGCAGGTCAGTGGGCGGGTCTCTTTGATGTGGGTAGACTGTAGGATACATAAGTCTGGGCTTTTGCCCTGGTGGGACTTGGAGCTTTGAACAAGGCTTGGGGGAATGACTTGTAACGTATGCCTGTACTAATCTTATGTGTCAACCCCCTTCTCAGGAAAAACAAGTACCTTGAACTTCTTATTCCTCAGTGATTTATAGCTACAAACGCGGAGGGTTTCTGCTAATCCATTTATATCCCTTTAGAACAGAATATGGGCTTCCCCTCCCCCCCAAAAAATAACACCGTCGCCGGACTGGCCTAGCAATAGAGGCCATTTGACCTGTTACGTAACAAAACCGTGAGTTTCGCAAGGGTTGTTTGCTGATTCATTGTTGTTTATTGCACGGCAATAGGTGAACACCAGTCCCTTTCTCAGAAATGTTTTTCAATACCTAATAAATTCTGTGCTCAAAAGTTAAAAAAAACCTATGCAATAAGCCACGTTTTCCCTAGGTGACATCATAGCAAGAGCTCCCTCAGTTGTCAAGGAAATCAAGTCAAGGTTCACTTTTCAGCGCATTTAACCAAATGGGAGTGCAAAAGTTTCCATACATTGAAGAATAATTCAAAGTTGGAAAAAATGTGTAAGCAAACGTATATACAGCAATATTTAAAAAACACTGCTGATTTTTATGTTTGCCTTGCGCATGAATATAGGGGGTCAGCTCGTAAGTCCGAAAAAGTGTTTTTAAAAGTCCATAAATCCGACGTCTCATAAGTCCAACGCCTCATAGGTCCGAGACCGACAAATGCGTTTAAAAGATGACATAGATCCAATGCCTCAAAAATCTGACGCCTCGAAAGTCCAACGTTTGATTTGACGCTCGTCACAAGCGTGTTAAGACCGCGCTAGGAACAAGACCAGTTTCCCAGTCAAGTATGGTGTACTATTTGTGACACATACAAAAGTTTTGACATTTCAAAAGTATTACAGTAGAAAAAGTGCTTTTTATATTTAGCGAAGTATCATACATCATTCTTACACGTAGTGGTATTTTGGATTTAACAAATACTGGACCAGTGTACGAATTGTGCAGGCTGCTAGATTTAGTTTTCCTACAAGGGTCAGTACCGCGCGGACGAGTAGGGAACAAATTTGAGTCTCGTTCGCAGGTGATGCGTCGCGCGGACCGGCACTCCTCCAGGTTTCACAGTCAATTGCACTGGCGCCTCATATGAAGTCCGACACCTCGTAGGTCCGACGTCGGATTTATGCGGGGTAGGACCTTTGAGGCATCGGAACTATGACGCTGAAAAACAAATTGCCAGTAAATCCGATGCCTCATAAGTCCGACGCCTCACAAGTCCAAAATTCGGACTTTTGAGGCGTCGGACCTATGAAGTGTCGGACTTACGATACGCACCCAAATATAGAAATAGACATGGGGCTGAGTTTGGGCAGTTTGTTCTCGTATGTTCACGAACAGCTCGGTCTGTTGTTCATGAGGAAGTCGCTCGAACGCCGGGAATCCAGAACCGGTTATCGCTGGTAGTTAGTGACATGCAACATGCATATGGCTGGTTCCTTGTACGTTTTCGAGAGTTAATGTTTAGATAACAAAGCTATTTTTTGAAAAGAACATGTATGTCTGTGTTATGGAAAAATATTAATGTTATTTTTGAAAAACTTTCTATTGCCTCCGGCTTTGTAAGCTATCTCGTTAGTTTTTGTGGCTGCTCAAAAATCAAATCTCGTGATTTTTCCCTGCGTTCCCAAAAACCCTGACGAGGAGGTGGTGTATGATCCTGTTCCGAGAACAGTGCTCTTGGGTCGTGTTCCCGCCGTTCGCGAGTGATCACAAGAAATCCGTGTCAAGAACAGACCCCCCGAACTCGACCCCAATATTTGCCGCATCACAACCATAAAAATACATTTACCTTCCCAACCGCTGTAACATATTTTGGCTCCTGTTACTGGGTCGCATCGGTAATGTCCGTTCTGGTCATCCGTAGGAACACATTGCACACTGCAGTCCGATCCGTGGTAATGGTCATCGCAATAGACTTTTACCTGAAAACGGAATCTGTACACCCCCCAAAACAGGTGTAAAGATATGTCAGGTTATGCGATTGGGACATAAATGCAACTTCATCGTAAAGGCCCCCTTCTGTACAGCCAGAGAAAGCAATTTTATGTTTCTCTGATATCCAGATCATCAACCCCCCGAGCCATTGGTCATAAAATTTACACCCAAAGGGAATGATACTGTAGATTTCCAGTGCACATCTACACGCATGGTCTAAATAAATGAATGGGGGTACTCTGGATATACTCAGAAAAAAATGTAGCACTTCGGCAACGTACATGTTGGTTCACCGCTGATATGCTTTAACAGTAATAACAGATGTCAAAAATCCCCTGGCACAACCAAGAAGAGCTATTAAATACATGCATGACACGCAGTATAATACCTGAATTAAATGATTAACACGTTGAAAAGGACACCAAACAGCCATAAACAGATTTGCTTTCTCCGCTTTCAAATAAGCCTCACCCCCTCCATACTACAACAGAAATCGTATATATAATCGTATAATATATATCTGGGCCAGTAATTTGCTATTTATTGCTAACGGTACCTGTACTAAAGCCCTGGAGTGCTATCAAGTATGTTTTGAAAAAGTGAAGTATTTTTTCTATTTATTTATCTTGTAAATTATAATATAAAAATAAAAATGTATTTCGTAAAAACAAACTTGGAAAACTGTATCTCGTAAAAGCAAACTTTGGAAAAATATATCTCGTAGAACGAAACTTAGCAAAAACGTATCTCGGAAAAGCAAATGTTTCAAAAAATAGAAACAATGTTTCTAAAAATAGAAAACAGAGAATGTTCTCAAAATATATCTCGTAAAAACAAACTTGGAAAAATGTATCTTTACATAACTGAGAGCTTGCGAAAAAAGTCACAATCTTACTCGGGTGGGACTCGAACCCACGACCTCCTGCTTACTAGTGCAGACGTCTTAACCACTCAACCACCGAGCTTGCCGGAGTCAGCTGGCCTGACTGACTCAGGTGAAGAAGCGGGTACCGCGAACTATTTTTCAAGACAAGCACTGAGCATACATTGTTTATTATAATATATGCGTTGGGTAAGGGCAAAACCCGTTATATAAATTAACATCTCCCCAACGCAAAAATACATCTTAAAATGTATCTCATAAAAACAATTTTGGGAAAAACATGTTTCTCGTAGAAACATTGGAAAAATGAATCTTGTAAAAACACACTTTGAAAAAAAAACTTCACTTTTTGAAAAATATTGGCCTATTTAATGACACTCCAGGGCATTTGTATAAGAGGAGCCTGGTTTGGGCATCTTTAACGTCGGGGCTTTCCCTTAGCCAGTCGACTAAGGGGAAGCCTTGATATTTACACAAGGGAAAATTGGAGCTTAATCAACCTGAATGTAAAAAATAATTGAGGTAAAAATACTACTCTTACCGGAAAAATAAAAGAATGCTAGGGCTAGCCATGTACATCAAAAATATTGACAAATCAGGACATAAAACACTTGTTAAGGCTACCAGTGTCCTTGTTAATTGATATCTAAGACGATAAATGGGAAAATGTCAGGTTACACGGTTTGCACCTACATGTTTGATAACCTACTCTGTCTGCTGACCCAGTGTATATTCTTGCCAGACAGCGCTGAACGAACGCCGTGCCGCTGGCTGGTCGATGGTTCTTCTAGCACGGTCAACCTCGTCGTGGGCACCGACAGGATCGAGATCCCACACGTGGGCGAAAACTTGCATCCCACCCTTGAAACGAGCAAAAAATGGAAGAACTCAGAATCGCATCGGACAAAACATGATGATGCGCATCTAATGCACGAATAACTGCGGTAGTAGTTTTCAGGAAATGTGTAACTATATTAACGCAGCACAGCGTAGCACTGCACAAAACAGGAACAGAAAACTCAACCGAGCTAGAATCCCTGATCTATCGACATTCAAAGCTCACACCGAATCAAACTCACACAAAACAGAGTCCAAGGCCGTTAAATGTTTATGAGAATATCGTTGTACATATCTACATCAAATTCTTACCGGCCAGGATGTTACTGACATGGTATGGGGGTTTGCTATTCCGTTCGGTATTGTCGATGGAAAATTGAAATCATCGTTGTCTTCATAAATTCTCTCAGTTGAAATACGAGCCATGTCACACGAGGAGCCATCCGAGCTTCAATTAACATAAAAAAGATATGAAATATGCTGATCATAATTATTCAAAAATGCTAAGAAATAAAGTAGAGGTTAAACAAGAGAAACCCGTTGATCTATAGTGAAGTAACTATGCAACTATTCGTTTCTCTTATTGTGTATATTTACAGATCATATTTGTAAATACTGGTCGATAGATGGATTTCCGATTTATATCAGGTACTACATGTAATGTATATTATTTTTCGTTTGGTTTATACAAATACATGTTCTATGAAAATAAAGTTGACTCAAAGATTAAAAGAGGATTTAGGCAACCCATTGCCAATTCCGTCGAATTATCTTCAATGTTACAACTTTATGCCGTCACTTTGACTTTACCCGGTATCATCCCTGTCGATACACACAAGAAAGTAGTTATCACAGAAGTCATCGCAACCTCCAATGATGTCATCACAACAACCGCCATTGAGGTCGTTGTGATCGTCATTTTTGAAGGACACAAACTTAAACTGGACAGTCGCAGTCGACTGCGCCAAAAGAAATATCTGAAAAGAGAAAATGTTGCTAGGTAAGTCCTTTTCAATATTTAATAGCAAAATATATCCCTATTGCATGGTGCGATAAGGGAAACAGACATTACTGTTGTCTAGATACAATTAGATATACTTTGGAGTTAAACTACCCGGAAAGTTGGTTGCATTTGCTCGCATAATGCGATTTCAAAATTTCTTAAAGTCGGAATATAGAGTTGTTATTATTAAGTAGACCTAACCTTTAAAATGCTTATGTCGACGTCTTCGTTTTAACGGTACATAAATGTAACGCTCCATTCGTGTTTTTGAACCTGTAGCTGAATCACCACTGTCACTGAAAATACAAAGACTGCTGGTATCAGAGCCCAGGTAATGCAGCGTGCATGTTTATTTTTCCAGCCATTAAGGGTTTCTCAGATTTCTTCCACACTGGGATCAATTAGGTGCCCTAAAGCAGTGTAATTTCTTTCCATCATGTTTTAGTACATTGGTTTCATCTCTGTTACTCTTTATTTAAACTTTTGGAAAGATCGAACCTTTTGTTGAAATAAATCTTCTCTTTTTGTTGTTACTTGGTTTCAGCTTTTTTGTTTCACAAAATAGTCAAACGGTCATATGATGCATGAATCCCTCACCCCAGGAAGTAAACCCTGAGATAGCTGCCTCGCTTGACGTGTTTCGTTCGGCTTGGTTTTTTTTTCGAAAAATCAGAAAAGGTACTATCAACCAGGTGGACATAGAACGCAAACAGAAGAACAGATGTTTTTCCTCTACCTATGAGTCTCTCAAACACGATGGTGCTCCTAAAATGAAGCTGAATAAACCAGAATGTCATCAAGGTACAAAATCAACTTGGACATGTTCAGGTCACCAAAAATCATCTCAACCGTCCTCTGAAATGTGCTAGGGCTATTACATAGCCCTTGGGGCATACAAGTGAATGAGAAAAGCCCCCATGGAACCCGAAATGCGGTATTATCCACCGAGTCCGGATGCGTGACTAATTGAAAATACCCATGGGCCATATCCAACGAAGTGAAATATCGAGAGCCCCCCTTGCCTCTAGAGTTTCCCCAATCCGCGGAAGCGGAAATGCATCTCTCAACGTAATGGCATTAAGCTTACGGTAATCTATGCAGAGTCAGACTGGCCCATCCTTCTTGCGAACAAGGACCGCGGGACTTGCATAGGGACTACCAGACCGTTGAATGATTCCTTTCTCCAGCAAATCCTGCAACAGCTCATGTACTTCTTTCATATACTTTGGGGGATGCGCCCGTATGGCTGTCGAATGGGTTGATCACTTGTAAGCTTTATCTCACGTGGAATGAGCGTACACTTTCCTATGTCTAAGGGGCCCATCAAAAAGGCTTTCTTGTACTTTCTAATTAACTCAGCGATCAGAAAAGGTTTATTACGATCAACCTCCCTATGACTGATCCCAGGGGGAAGTAGATAGGAGGAACCATCAGGAAAAACAATTGTTTCTCTAACCACATTGGGCGGACTTGAAACTCCCATTCCAACCGCCTCATCCTCAACATCGTCCCCAAGATTTTCAGAAGTACATGTACCTAAGCTCTGGTCAATCATAACCTGTTCTACAGTGACCTGACGACCTTCCTCAATCTCCCAGAGGTGAACCTCATCACTAAGTCTAGCCTCAACTGCTGTTGCAATCCTTAACTTCGGGAGACTTACCGGGATTTCACCAAGATTGCATACTAAAACATTCAGAGGAATCTTTCACAATTTGTACACCCAAAACAACATGGACATTCTCCATCGATGGTTCTTTCGACCCACCTTGTGTATTATCAGCATGGGCCCTGAAAGAGACTGGCTGCACAAGAACAATTGCACCATAAGAATCCGCCCACAAAGGTTCACTTAAAACGCAGGATAAAACAGAGCCCGAAAACAGAGCTATGGTCTCATCATGAGCCATACAAACACGACCAACCGACAATTGCGTTGGTGAAATCGGCCCACCGACTTCTCTAACCTGCTCTTTATCCATGCAAGTTAACCACTGCAAAGCAACCCTCCACTCATCTGTGGATGGTCCACACGGGGTGGCCTGCATCTTGGAAAGAGTGCGCAAAACATTACACCCCAGAAGCACAGGATAGATCTTACGGCGTTCAGTGGATGCCTCGGAACTGTCGTCCCGAACCAGGAAAGAAGCAGAAATCATTAAACCAAAAATAGTAACAGGAGTCTCTAAATATCTCTTGATGGGTATGTCTAGATCATTGGCTCCCATCAATCTAATAAACCTCCCAACCGGTCTCAGACTACCCACTTTGTAGGCCAAACGTTCCCTATAGAACGTTGAAGTTATTAAGGATGTCTCAGCACCACTATCCAAACTGCACTGAGTGGTCACATCTCCCATAACGATTTCAGCTGTGGGACTACTGGCCATCAGTTTCTCTCGCAACTGCTTTTCATTATAAGAACGACCAACACTCAAAACTCCAACCGAATTTGTCTCTACAAACTCAACATTGGTCAACCCATTTGGTCTCGGTTTGGGCAGGTTTTCCTCCTCCACCACCTTGCCCACTATGGTGAAGGGTTCGGGTTTTCCGACACTTTTGGTTTTGCCATATCACGATTCTCGTCTTGTTTCTTCGAACAGTTCCAGGAGATGTGACCAGTTTTCTTACAGTGATGGCAGGTTATTATTTGCCTATCTCTCTTGGAAGAAATAGTTGCATCGAGTTTTGTACTCAAAACATTGATCAATTCTGCCAACTGACTAGACGTAGCAACCTGTTGCTGCGACAGAGCCTCGAACCTTTCCACAATCAACTGGTTAGAAGTCACTAACTGAGTCAACACATCATCAGATCTCTTTGCTGCGGCCCAAACTTGAACATCTTTGGACTCTTCACTACAGACTGCAGTCTCTCTGACATTTTGCTTCTTTACGGGCTTGTCTTCACATTCTGGGAAAAAGCTCCAGTGCACGTTCCCTAAACTTATAGAAACTCAACTTTGGTTTTTCAATCTGTATACGGTGCAGTTCCCTACGAATCGTATCATCATGTGTACCTTGCACGAAGCGCTCTTTCAACGCCTTGTCGCGCATGAGCTGCAGTGCAGCTAATTCTGGCCCTTGCGCACTCTGTTCCATGCGGTCAAGGATCCTCATCAAGGCGCGACTGAATTCCGCAAGCGTTTCCCCTTCTTTTTGGCATCGAGCATACAGTGTACCTGTTAATGAGGAAATACTCTCAGACTGGCCAAAGACTCAGCAGAAGCGTGCAATCAGTTTTTCAATGTTATCTCTTTCCTCCGGTGGGCTACAGAGGACTTCTTCTTTTGCCACGCCCCCCAAATGGTCTAAGGCGACCCCAACCTGCTCTTTCTCGGTCAATTCCAGTTGTCAACAATAGGAGTTAAATTCCTCGACCTATTCACCTGATGTTAGGTCCCCAGGTTTTGCAGGCGGACCAGTGAACTTTGACAACCTTAATTTTGGTTCCCTTGTAAACTTAAGACCTTGAGAAGCCTTGGCAAGTGTTTCAGCTAGAGCCTCATTTGATTTGGCAATGACCTCCGCTAAGCCTTCAGCAGTAGCCATGTTTCCACCAAAAGGTAAGGAAAGGTTCTCAATATTGTCAAAAGTTGAGTGTATATCGTGAGTCAAACGTTAACCAAATATTTAAGTCACACAGTTTAAAATATCACTGCACTCGTGGGACTTGAGTCATGAAATTATGCACATCTGCACAAATTAAGCAATCCAAATGAAAAGAGCCAAAACATCAATTAGTCAGGTGCGGACCCAATACCATGTGCACTAGAAGATATAAGCACTAAACATGCAAACAGTGTGGCAATCAAACAAGATTAACAAAATACCAGTCACGGGCATTTGCATGTACATGTATGCGCTGAACATGTTGACCCCATCATACAGATGAAATTAAATATCAGACTTCAAGGGAACTAACAACAGGGATTATCCAAAACAGAACTTTCAAAACATAGCTGGGGGTTTAACATTTGTTATACATGTATTACATGTTGTATGTACCATTAAACAATTGACATAAAATGAATGCAATACACAAACTACTCAGTGTTGAGATCCCGTCTACGACGCCAGTTTGTCATGGAACAGGAACGGGTCGACTCCTGTCAAGGAGGGGGGGTGTGAACTCCACCTCGGTGTGACGAGGGTGTGCACCACTGGAGAAATGACTCAACATGAGTTGGTTGCATGCATAGTGCACGTTACGCACAAGTCGGAACGTTCCATTAACAATCATTAAAACAGCCAGAAAATACACCTCTAAATAATTGATTTACTCAACTCAAATCCCATTACCAGAGGGGATAAGCTACAAGCTTACCGTCAGTATGCAGATAGCGCACACATTGATCTCCCAAACAGGTAATTTTAGGGTCAAACTGATCAGCAACCATTTATTGTGATCGCCCTCTGCAGCGTGGAAGACGGAGAGAGTGAGAGCTCTGCTGGCGGCCAAATATGTACTTAGACAAAGTTATTCTATTAATCTCTACAATTTACAAATAGGTAAACAACTGATCCCCTTAAAATATCCCAGTCAGACCAAAAAGTAAGCCCTGTTTATATGGACCGGAAGTCTTCATTTCATACTTTATTTACTGTTATTCCTGAGAAGTGTCATGAGCGGCACTGCCTTATAGTAGGCGGATGTACCCTTTGTTTACATGAGTAGGGAGCTTTCTCCCCAGATACAGCGCCGTTCATAAAAGGGGCTTTTCCATGAGTGGCTGAGTACACGTTACATACATACTTGCTTTACAAAATCCTGTTCCCCTACAGATATAGGAATCCATTCCATATTATGTTATACAAGTATCTGTTTTTCCGGTTTGCAACGTTTTAGGCTTACTGTTCAAGCAAAAACTTTTTTTAAAACTTTCGGTGATAATTCTGACGGCAACTTCAACAAACGTTATATCATTGCTCAAGTGAACGGTTTAAACCCATGTGGTTGTTGGACAGTTGGCAACCTTTTGGGCAATTTCACTCCGATTTCCAAGAATAGGTCTTTGTAGGGTTGTGCGTCAATTTTAAACGAGCTCCAATCACGAGCTCAAAATATTTTACTGTAAAAAGGAAACAGCTTAGATTGGACAGTGGTTGCCTTCATAGCTCTTCTACAATCGTCTTAATAATTTGTCCCTGGTGATTCCTTTGCAAATGGTTTTAGCATGGGTCTTATGTTTTCGGCCCAATATTACACCATAAAGTACTTCACCCGTCTTTTTTATTACGCAGAAAGGTCAACATGTCTTCTATCGTCTTTCTGTTGATTTCGACTGCACGTTATCACTGACCTTCACTGTAATCTTGACTTTACGTCTTGCCCATGGGTTTGCTAATAGGGCATGTAAACATCAGTTCAATTTGGCCTATCTTTGAGCAAATCCTGCAACTCTTTCGTTTGGTGTTTTCCATCCGCCATGGTTTCTGTAAGTATCTGTATGAATGGCTGGAAAAAGGCCCCGTCCAATCCTTCTAAAAGGGAATCTTAACATTTATTTTAGATCAGGGTTTACTGGTGGCAAATTTCCCTAGAATAATCAGGGTTACATTATAGTTTTGGCTCAATAGGGTAATATTACTGACCTCCTTAGAGTCATTCACGTGATATTCACGTGATTGGTATTCAACCTCTACATGACAAAATGGGATGCCAGAGAAAGGGAGACACAGAAAATCGCGAAATCCAGTCTTTCAAAGAGCCCCTTTCTCCCATTTGAAATTTTTAGGGTCTGAAAATTAAAAGCCTGTTCTTTTTCAACCGAAGGCCGTCTGCATCTGATGCTTTCGCTATAACACACACTAGGGAAGGCCCTTAAAAGAAGTCATTGGTCATAGGCATAAGCGTTCCTAGCCACATCTACTTCTTCAGTACACAGAATCTTGGTTAGAACCCTATGCAATTGAAGTTGCAGTTCATGGCCATTTACATCACGACACATGGCTGAAACGACTGACATAAATGTCAGTGTATTTCTTAGTCAGCCTGTTTGATGCACTTCAAGTGATAAACGGCTACCTCATCGCCATCAATACTAGTTTAGTTTCTTTACTATCGATCATGAACTTTTCTGCTAGTTTAAAGTTGGGGAAAGAAAAACAGAAAATTCTGCATTATTAAAAATAAGTTAAGGAAATTTACATACTTTTAACGTTACTTTAAAGGTGAGACTCAATGTTGCTTTAAACAAGGAAGGTCTTAAAAATGTCCCATTTTAATTCACAGTGCATCCCGGCGGCGAAGTAATTACAAGGCTGGAGGTGCTGCTGCAAGCAACATCACAATTTCGTTCATATTAGCATCTTGCTTTAACTTTTTTTTTAAGAAATATCCAAGGGAAACCTATTAGATTAAAAAATCTAAAGTCATGTTTTTTTATGAAGAAATTATGAAATCTGTAGGCCTACTCTCCATCGTTAGAGGCAGATTCATTAGTCATTTTGAATCTAGACTTGCCGTACCTAACTCGCGTCGAATTAGTGATCAAGTTGTTTTGTCATGGTTAGTTATCGTGACTACCCAGGTTGTCGGGCACAGACTGTGGTGCATACGCATTCAAATCAATTGAATTCGATTTTGGTCAATTTGTCAAAAAGGTCATTTTCCTACCTGTGACAACGTCGTCAAAATAAGAACAAGTTTCATCCTTGGTTTGAGTTCGACTGCAGTGAGTAGTTGCTGGTTGTAATGCTCTCCGCTGACCATCCCCAGCTACTTTGAGATATCAACAGAACAGAGCTGCATTTTTCTGTCCAAATACTTGTCACGTATTGTAAATACGCTCAACGCAGGGTTTCAGTTCCACTGTTTGCCAACACGGGATCACCCTATCATGAAAAACATCGACGTCACCATTTCAAAAGCTATGACGAGTGCATACCAGCGTGGTCGTTAATCGTGTCTATTGTCCTTATCTTAGACTTACCTTATCTTAGAATGTCAATATCACACAATAAAAGTTTTAGTCTTTCTTGTGCTTTTGTGGTACGGTTCAAAGTCTTCACGGAAGTTAACAAGGAAGCCATATGTGCAGTTCTTCAGTTAACAAAATGCACATGCATCGAAACTACGCTTCGAAGTGCAAAAGGGGCCACAACCAACAAAAAGTAGAATTCAAAGTGGTGTCTCACTCCGGATGTCACCCTAAGTTGTTAATATTTATCTCGTCGCTGGGTTAGCGAGTACTTATCGAAAAGGGGAGATGCCAAAAGACTGGGCACAGTACATCTGAGTATTATGACACACCTCATAAAATAATTTGCCAGCTTGTAGAAACATAAAAAGTACAAAAGGTGTCATAGGGACAATTATTGGGAAACAAGATTGAAAATGGGGTAAAATGGACAATATAAGGCACGTTTACAAATACTGCACTTGAAAATTGCACTTCAAGGTTCTTTAAACTCACCCTCATAAGGTGCGTTAGAATATTTGTTAGCCTCCGTTTTTGCTGTTTGACACTTCAAATATAATCTCAAATTATGTATACCTCTAATTTTCATTACAAAAAAATGGAAGGGAATGACATATTGGTCCACCAATCTTTTGAATCAAGCGCATAGATCATGTGATTTTACGCAATACAAAACAAGATCTTTTGTTGGACACCAGGCTTTATTCAAAAATAGATTTCCTTTCATTGGCTTTCACCTAGACTTGATACATGGGTCGGTCATCTTGGAACTGAAAGCGACTGTAATGCTTCAATGGAGCAGAAACGAAAGCAATAAAACAAAATTTCGTAATAACTTACAACCTGTGTTACCTAATGATTAATTTTACATTTGTGAATAACTTTCCAAATATACCGTAATGTTATAAGTAAGGTTTGGGAAAATACTGAAAGGTAGGCTTAGAACGCATGACGATCATAAAATAGTCTGGTGCCATCCTACTTGTTAGTTCACTACACATAGTACAATTTTTGGAAGAAGATTGAAATGGCTTCCACGTGATTAAGGTAAAGATATTACAAAAAGCGGTAAAGATTTAGTTTCAAAAATTCCTCCCAGCACTTCAGACCCTTTAAAATGTTTAAAAGGTAGCTTCCCTGACTCTCTATTTTTAAGCCCAATTACACAGGAAGAACTCTGATTGTATTAAAAACCTTCCTAATAAGAAAAGCACGGGTTATGATAAATTGATAATATTCTTATTAAAAATATTGCTCCTTTCATTGTTCAACCCTTAAATGATATTTTCAATCTTTCTTTAATAACTGGTGAGGTTCCTGACCAACTTAAAATTGCTAAAGTTATTCAAATCTTGCAAGGACTACTGATGTTCACAATTATAACACCAGGTCTTCAAATGAGCTTCATCTTCATAAAGTCAGAACATCTATTCGCCTCTCAACTGTTAAATAGCAAAGACCCCTTCTCTGGAACCAAATCTGATCTCTTTGTCCAATGACGACAATTGCAACTTGTAAAAGGCATTATGGGAAACTTTTATTAAATGCAGCGGACAACTAAGAGTATGATTTCTTCTAAACAATGCCAAAGTTGTATTTATATATTGTTAAACCTGTAAATGGGATTTTGTGACGTTGTTGTATACAGCTATCTAAGAACTTGAACTAATGAAGACCTTCACACCTTATTCTGTAATATTTATTTTGATAGTTGTTTCTCTCGAGAATTGTAAATTTACATGTATTATCTTTGCAGGGGGCAGACCCCGTAAAAGCTTCGGATTTTTGTCTGACCTCCCTCCATACTATTTAATTTATTTTCATTACCTTATATAATTTAAATTGTGTATAGTATGGAATATAAACAAACCAAACCAAAGGTTTATTGGACTCTAAAGATTATTCAGATACACTAACATAACTAGCCGTAGCGAGAAGAGGGAATGGTGGTAGCCCTTCTATATGCGTCTGTATTATTTGAATATTATCCCTGTTGCCAGTTCTGAGAATAAGTTGACTGGATTTAATTTAAGATGTCCAGATCCAAAAATATACGAACTTGCTTTATAATCATGATAGCGCTATACTTGAGGTAATTTTTTAAACTTCAGGCAAACTTGAATGCTCCATTCTGATTGATCGATCCATGACAACAGTGTGACATATAACCATTGATCTCCATTATAAAGATCTTTTTGTGTTGTAAGAATCATGGTAAATCGACATAATTATGTGGGATTAATTATGCAAACGCTCAACTGCAAATTTCACTGTAAATTAAAAGGTGGTGAGTTTGCGCACATAGGCCCCGATAGCATGTTTATATGTTTGAAAATGAATTAATTGTCACTATTGCGCAAAATAAACGCCAATTTGAAAATATGCGTGCTTGCTTTAATAATCAGGACAGCACTATAGTGTGTAGGGCCACAACTTAATAATTTCAGATATCGTTTATTTAATTTTTAATGAGATAAAATTTTCATTTTTAACACTTCCAAACTAGTGTCTGCAAACTATACTGGGCACAATTTACCTTGGTTCTTCATGTCAGTGCACAACACTGGAGCTCGTGAACCTTTTTATATTAATGACAACGAAATAGAAAGGGTTAATGAGTACAGATATCTTGGTACTGTTATTGAAGACAAACTTAACTGGAACAAAACACCCAGGTAGTCTTTGGCAAGGCCATGCAACGGATGTTTTTCCTTCGTAAGCTCAAACAGTTTGATGTTGTCAGGACGATCCTACGTCTATTATACCAATCCATAATAAAGAGCATTGTTTCTTTTAACATAATGAGTGTGTATGGTTCACTTTCACAAAAAATAGGAATAGGTTTGAGCGTGTTCGTAAAACAGCTCAACGCTCGGTAGGTGTCACCTTACCAACATAATGACAATTTCTACTTGGAACATGTAATATCTAAGGTACATGTCATTGTATCAGATCCAACTCATCCACTTTTTGAGTGTTTTGTTTTTAATAGATCCGGTTTTAGACTTTGTGTGCCTCGCACAAACCTAACTCGATACAGGCAATCCTTTGTTCCCAACTCCATTTATTTAACAAATCAGGTGTTCGTAATTAAGGGATCTAATGTCTTTGGATTTTCTGGTAGTTTTTATTTGTATGTTAATAATTTTTATTTGAGTTAATTTGTTTTAGTGGGTTAATCTTGTTGGTTAAATATTGTAAATTGTTGTCTATTTTTAAGTACCTATTTTTGTATTTGGATGTGCCAATGGAAACAAAATTTCTGTATTTTTTATGTTGCGGACAATAAAATTCTAATCTAATGTAAGTGGGCCATTTAATTATTGTGACATGTAATACGATGTTCAGAACTTCAACACTGAGATTTGCAGTGCGACTTAGGTCCAGGGCAGCTATCTGGTCTCATGTTAAAGCAACAATGGAGCATTGTTGTAATGCGACATCGGTTTATGCATTGCTCGCCAACCCCAATAGAACCGCCCCTGTCAATCAGTACATCGCTAACTTGAGCAGAATATTAGTTGTGTATTGCTCATAGTCTCATCTCAAGAACACACAAAGTAAAAGATGTTGCTAAAAAGATTTACCCAATGCAACTTTCCAAAAATCATTTAATCAGTTAATTACTTATTGAATGTCCTAATAAATCACTGTAAAAACACTTAATCATTTTTACTTAAAAATTGTCCAGCTCTATTTAAAAAATGACCAATTTAAATTAGTAAGACAGACCAATTGACTAACATTTATCAGTCAAGGGTAAGTCAAATATCTGTCAAAATTGACCAAAGTCAGTCCCCTGGGCTGATTTAAAATTATTCCTGTCTTGATTTAATACCTCATTGAGACTCGACTGTGTTGTATTTTTCCTTTTGACTTATATATGAGCACAAATGACTAACTTTTGTTTACAGCGCTGAATTTGTAGGCAATCTAAGTGACCTTAACGCAGTGTCTACTGGAAACCCATCCATACAAATAGATGCCTCGAAAGGATTATTTCTGAATAAGTGCAAGAAGGATATGCGCTTAACAACATTTCCCCTTCCTTCAAAAATACTTGTCGAATTTGGACACTTGCAAAGAATATTTGCTTTGATACACTATGACTCTCACTAAGGTGTTCTATAATACAACAAAATGTGTGTCACGTCGTGGCGTCGCTCGTCAGGATGTGCCGTCGCGTGCATTTAAACTCTGCTCAGTTTCGGCCATTTGTCGATTAATTTGAATACTTCTTCTTTTACAAATTTGGCGGTTGAAACTGATTTAGCATACTAGGGTTGCCTTAATCATTGATGCCATTACAGACATAACATCACAACCCAACTTGGTATTAATCCTTGTCCTCACACGTAATGAAGGGGGTATCACAAATAGACGTCATTACAACTTCTACAAATTCCCAATATGCTGTCGTCACAACAAGCACACCGAAGCGATCGGCGTTATTGGAAGACAAAAACTTGAGTTCAATAGTCCAAAACTGCACTTGAGGAAATCATTTGCGAAAAAGATGAGCCTAAATACTATGACATTAATGACATTACTTCTGGCCAAGGCTTTCTTGGAAATACAGGATGGTCCTCTTACAGGATATATGACCTCTGTCCGTGTCACTAAACACGTATTTAAAACAGCACCTTCATTATCGATAGATTAGTCCTTCTGGCTGCGACACCAGGAGGTCTCCAATTATAAAACCTTTTAGTTGACGACTTTTCGATTGTATTAAGGCGAAAGAAGGCAGCTGTGCAGACTTGTTTTTAATCTGGGTCATTAATAATTTATGCGCGTGTAAATCATGCCTTAAACATGAACTCGGCAACCAAGCAGAAGCACGCATTACCTTAGGTCTGGGTTGCCAG